TCACACTCAACAAATCACCATCGTTGAATTCATAGAAACTCTACTAAGCCAAAACCATGCAATCCTATTAATATTTAGTGCTATTTATGAATCCATTGTGTGCAAAATATGTAAACTGAAGAGAAAGAAATGTTTAATGAAAAGGAAAGCTTAATGTGATGCATTCCAATCTTGTCCAGCTTAATAATTTTTATTATGGCTTTATCTAATTGCCAATTCAAGAACTAACACTGCAATTATGTCACTGATATCTAGAGACAGAGAAAGTCTTCACCTGGGGTAGAGGAGACTATGGTCAACTTGGAAGAAGTGAGATGCTGTGCGAAAGAGAGAGCCAGGACAGAAAGAGATCAACAGAGCATCATTTGAAAGAGTCCTCTTTTGCTCCTGCTACAGTGCCCAAACTCTCTGGTGCATCTGAGGTAAGGAAAAACTATGCCTTCTTTTCTTAATTTGAATGGTGCCTCTGGCACAAAGGGATGCTGTACTGTCTCAATCCATTGAATCAATATTGCATGCATTTACTTATTATATCTAATATTCTGCCAATTATTTAATTTGTGAAAACTGAAAGGCAATCCAAATGTGGTTCTCTATACTGCTCTTTCTAATAAATAGTTTGATTGCAGCTTTCCCTATACTTGCTTTTTTACAACACAGAAGTCTCTAATACACACTTTTGTAGATAATTCTTTGTAGAATATAGGTAAGCTATTTTGCACAAAATATTTGAATTGTGAAAGGCTGGCTTTAATAATCTCCATTCATTATTACCACCCTAATATGCTGGATTTCACACTAAAGTTAATTGTAGAAGTACTCTCTCTGAAAAACATCCAGGGAAAGAAAAGCCTCTTTTCTAATGAACAGAAATACAAATGTTCAGCAAGACATTTGCATGTGTTTGTGTTCTAAAAAGTGCTGAATTTTGTTTGAAGTCACTTGTTTGTTATTTTAGTATATTAATTACAACTATTCAGATACTCCTCGAGTTAAGGACCATTTGAAGTTACGACACCCCCCCTCCAAAAGGGTATCTCTGACTCAATTTCAAAATTACAGTCTCTGTCGTGCCCTTGTTTGTTCATCCTTATGATTGACTGCAGTCTCAGCATATTAGATAAACATTAGTTTAGAACAGTGGTTCTCAACCTTTTTAATGCCGCGACCCCCAACCGGTCATAAGTCGAGGACTAAACCGGTCGTAAGTCGAGGACTAAACCGGTCGTAAGTCGAGGACTACCCAACCGATCGTAAGTCAAGGACTTTCCCTGCCCGGGAGCGCCATGCATGCATGGTTCCGCCCCCTGCGCTGGCCGAGGCGTAGCTGGCAAGCGGCAGAGACGGAGCAGGCCGACCACCAGCTGGCCCAGCTCAAGGGAGGTAAGGCACCCGCCGGAAAAGGGGAAAAAAATGGCGGACAGCCTTGCTTGGCGACCCCCGTGAAATGATCGATCGACCCCAAATGGGGTCGCGACCCATAGGTTGAGAACCGCTGGTTTAGAAGACCCTGAATTTAGAAGACAACTGAATTTCATATGGACTTGATCAGAGTCAGTTTAACTGATGGCAGGTGTGTACTGACTACTATTTACCATCAGTTTGAATGTGATTCTGTTAATTCTGAACACTGTCACATCCCTACATAAAAGAGGGTATGAACACTTATGCAGCCACATCATTCTAGATTTTAATTGTTATTTTTCCATTATAAAAGATGTTTTTCAATTGAATTGTACAGTTTATATGTTATATTAAAGATGGGAAACATTCTGAAGTGATTTATCTTGGTACTATTTTTTTTTACATCTCAAAAACCTGGTATTTTAACAAGTGTATGTAGACTTTCTATATCCATTATGGACTTACGGAATTCTTCTTTTCACTATCAATGAAGAGAGAAACCTGACTTCCTTCTTAACAGACTCTTCATCACAACATAGCTTTAAAAACCCTTTCTGTTTGCTGAGAGCACAAACATGAAAAGGCATATGAAACAGATTTATGAAAGTGGCTTTCACTCATATAGACATAGCAGATCCTGTACTTTTCCACTGTCTTTTTTTTAACAAGTCAGAACTGTGGATGTGCTACAGTGAACTGCACTGCAGGCTGCAGCCCCCGATTGGCATGCTAGAAGCATCTTTAGCATACTGCTAAGTAGAGATTGGTAAGGAAACTGGGTCAGAAAACATGCTTACTGTACCTGCAAGAGACTGCGGAGTGTAACAGCATGGAAACAGGACCATCCACAGTATGGCACTGTCTTACTAAGTATAATGGGAAAAACTGCTAAGAGTTTGCCATAATGTGTTTTTTGGTGATTGCCAAGTGAATGTAGCAATGACAGTTTTGTATATATTTAGTTCAATGCCTTATGAAACACTAATCTATAATACTTTGAAGAATAGTCTCTCATTATTCTGTATGTAGCCAATAATACTTCTTATATAAATATGTAGGCAGGAAGTATGTTTGTATTGAGCATCACTATATATGTAGCACAACGATGAACTGGGTTAAGTCTCCAATTGTTGCAATAATGTATGAGGTGGATTTTAATCTAGACCAGACAACCTGTGACCCATTGTGTCATCCTTTCAGAGATTTTTCCATTTGCCACAGAGAAACAGAAAGATTACAGGGAAGCAAAAATATCAGTGGAAGCAGAAACAACTTCTGACTTCTTTTTTGCTTTCCCATTGAGTTTCCTTACTCACTGCTGGCAGTGAGCATGGAAAATCTTCCTCCCTTTAAATGTGTAATAAGCATTTTTTTTTGTTCAACCATACCATATGGCTTCTAGGCAATATGGGTAGTCCTCATTTAGCAACTGCTTTGTTAAGTGACTGTTTATTTTTTTTAACAATAATTTTAATAAGATTTACAAATATATAGATAAACACTAATACAAACTAAGGAAAATAAAAAAGGAAAGGAAAAAAGGAAAGTATGACATGAAAAGGACTCTCCCCGACAAGTATAAACATTTTCAATAACTTAACACCTTCTCTAGTATTTCAATACAAAATCCCTTCTTCCCATATCTCATCCTTTATTGACAATCAAATGATAAAAACTCATTCAGTCCCAATCAGTAAAAGTCTATTAAGAGCTAGCCAAAATGTTAACAAATACTTTTTAACTTTAATAAAAAAATACCCATTTTGTAATCTAAACCTATCACTTTCTCAAGGAAATAAAGCAAAAGAAATATCTTCCCATTTATAAACAGATTTTTAAAGCTTGTCATTCACCTGGCCCAAAAGAAATCCCATTAATAGCTACCAGGAACCACAGCATATATATTTTAACCCTGATCAAATAGATTCACTTTGCAGTCCTTCTGTTTACTTTTAAAAAGCTTGATTTTTAAGCCTGTCCAGTGGTATCCCACAAGCTGATTTCTTATCATTTTCTCTCTATCTCCTTTTAGGAACAATTTGAGTAATTTCTCTTTATCTCCTCTCAGAAACAGTTTCCTTTATTTCACACATTCCTTTTGTAAATCTTAAGATTTCCAAGTCACTCTTCTAATTTATTATTTCTATGTCTCCTTTAATTATAAAGACACCAGCTGATTCCATTTGTAAATCCATCCTGGCATCTTTTTCCATGTCATTTTTGTAATCCAGCATATTTTTAAAACACTAAATCCACATTCAAGTTAGTCTCAGTTTTAATCCAATAAAATCAAATTTGTTCTGTTATCTCCTGCTACGTACATCTTCAGAATTCTGAGGAGCTAAAACGGCAAAAAGCAGAGCCATGTTCAGTCTGCCATTGTTGTCCCTGGAAGTCTTGCAACCCTTCAAAATGATGACCGTAATGAAAAAAGTATTTTTATGAACAGTCCTTGCATTTACAACCTTTGCAGGTTTGCAAACTGAAGGAAAGCTGAAGTAAGATCATAAACACAGTTGTGATTTCACTTAAGAGCCGCTTCACTTAATGGCCAAGTTGCTGGTCCCAATTGTGGTTGCTAAAACAGTTGGATTGAGATGTCGGCTACAGAAATTAAATAAATACAAAAATAAAATAATAAAATAAATAAGATAATCAAAGACTGCCTGTATTGTAGCCTTTCTGTATGAGGCTGCTAACACCACAAATTACTGCTCTGAATTCACTCATGGTACGAGGAGGGGTTTGAGATACATTGAATGGATAGGGAAGGAAGATGGAAAGAAAGCTGGAACTCTTAGGAGAAGAAATTGTTCCTGGGGAAAGTAAAATGGAAATCCAGGCTTCTTCTCCTCTGAATTAAGACAGGATAGTTTTAGTTTGTGAGGACATCTAAATGACAGGGAAGATATTATAGAATGTTTTATTGCTTCTTTACAAGCTTCCAGGAGGCTAAAATGTTTGTTGGCTACTAACCTTTATTGATTTATTTTTTAAAGCTGTTAAGAATACAAACCGTTCCATAGGCCATTGCAGTGGTTAATCTGTTTGAAACAAAGCGTTAAAGCTTTAAGCTTTAAGCTTTTTGCTTTTGGTTTAGCTTAGTGAGGTTTGATAATTATCTTGGCCTATCAAAACAGAGGCCATTCATAGGCCGTGAATGCAGTTTCATTTTTTTCCTTTGATCTTTCAAGTAGTTCTTGTTTGAAAAGATATGCATCCATGCTTAGCTAACATTAAATATGCTATGACATTATTTATTAACTGAATAAACCAAGACAATATTGACAAATACAAATGTTGTTCTGTAGGTATCATATAACGACCCATAAACATATAATTTATTTATGCTATTTAGTAACAGAATTTTTAGCCCAGATGGACAGATTCCAGTTGATGTACAAAAACAACTTACACATGAAATATAACCAATTATCATTGTGAGTCTTTCATATAGATAGTACTAGTACCGAAGCATACTTTCATTAATTTATTTGTACAACGGAGAGTAAGACTGTCTGATTTAGCATGGTCCCTGGCATAGGCATTAAGGCATTCTTTTTTAAAGAGTATTTCCAATGAAATTTTGATGTTATTATTCTAGATCAGTGGTTCTTAAACAGTTTGATCCAATTATCCTTTTCCTGAACCCAAATAATGCCATTACCCCCACAAAAAAACAAACCCCAACAAACCAGACTTCGTTGCATTACACAAGTATCTTAATGGCAACAGTCACAAACTGGGTCCTTTACTCAGAATTCAGAAGCAATTACAAATTCCTCCATTATTCCTTGGATATGCCCAAACTACTCCCTTGCAAAGTTGTCCATTTGTGTATGTGCAGTATTATGTTTACTGATAAAAAGTTAGAAAGGAGACAATTTCTTGGACAAAAAATCCTGCCTTTCTTTGGATGATAAATCCAAACTTACCAGGCTGATGTTATTCTGGATTTGAATTAAACAGATGGATTGCTTCAGGAAGAAAATCTCTGCATCTATATGTATGTATGCAG